AACATCAAATGCCAAAAATCAAAAAACAATGTGTCCTAAACAAAAAATGAAAAAATTAATTGATTTTTGAAGAAATCATTGGCAAATGAATTACCTAAGACATCAGAAGGATCTGGGCTAAATGAACTTCTTTAATTTCTTCCTCATAACCAATAGATGCAAACGATAAGGAAAAAATTTGGTCAAGAAATCGAGATCCGAAACTTCCTAAATGTAATTAAAAAATTTTGCTCGAAATCTGGTAACCAAACAACCTGCATATCTGACAGGATCAGCTGGGGATAAGAAAAGGCCTTATTTGTCATTTACTTTGAACTAAGATCATTTTGAAAGAACACAATTGAAAAAAAAACTCAAAAAAGTAAATGCAAAAAACTTTCGAATGCAAAAAACGTTCGAACAAATGACATATTAAAACATTACGGTATGTCATCAACTTGAATCAAATTCCGAATAACCTAAAACACGCCAAAAAAATAAAACTGAAATCAGCAGATAATTTCAGAAACAATTTCTTTTCTTATAGACGTGATTTTGGCGTACATACAAACCAAGAAACCACTACTAATTTAAACGCTTGAAAATGAAAAAAAGTATCTCAAAAATCTACCAAAAAATTACAGACTGGAACATTCCGCAAATATTTAGACAAATTCAGGAAACACGACAATAAAATCAACTAATATCCAATATGATTTCCAGCTGTAGACTCAGTATCACTTCAGTAGCTCCAGACCAGCATTTAAACTACAGCTGTTAAACGTGTAACTATGCTAAAAACGGAGATATTAAAATTGGAGATACTGTGAACAAAGTTGTTTACGAGGAAAAAGTTGAGAAACCGATTGTCATACCTTTGTTTATTGCAAGGGTAAAAAGTGAAACTGATATAAGTAAAAACCCATCCAACAAAAACCAAACGATCAGTATTTTTCCGAATTAACAAAAAAAACAAATGCAGACTGCGATCAGTCAATTATTTGATCTGTTATTTTATAAGTGGTGACTGAAAAAAAACTCCAATGAATCGACAGCAAAAAAAAAACGATAAAAACAGAGATGTTAAACCGCCATGAATTTTATTGTAACTATGACCAGGAAACAATCAGCAACTTTCATAGCACGTCAACGTTAAATAGAAAAAACAGTAAATAGAAACTTTATCCATGAACGCGGATAAAACTTTCTATTGAAAAAACTTTTTATGCGAAAAACATTTTACTTTCTTTAAACTAATCACCAACTAAATATAACAAAACAACCATAAAATGGCATTAAGTTAGGTTAAATTATTACAAATTTTTTTTGATTTAAAGTGGCAAAAAGGAGCTATTTGTTTATTCAATATGAAGTGCTGCATAAGTAATGAAAAAAACAGAGTATTTGGTTTTGATAAAATCTGAAGCTGCCTTTAATTGAAAAAATTCAAAGACATAATTGAAAAAATTAATAAGGCATTATTGAAAAAAATCATAATTTTGAAAACCCATCCTTCGAATTAAAAAGAAAAAAATAGCTGGTTTAGAAGCTTTCCAAGAACAATTTATGATTGACACTTTTTGATAAAATTAAACCAAATAAAAGAGTTTTAAAGCGTAATTTTGCTGGGAAATCTGATACTTAAATTCCACTTTCGAAACTATAAGTCGGTCATGTTTTTTGTGATCTTTACACTTTTGCTGTTCGATAGTGGAATTTGCCTTTCCTAAAACTGAAAACGAGCTTAAAAAGAAATCAGAAGTCGAACCGCGAAAAAATAATTTTGCGCCTGAATAAATTTGCTTCACAATATATGTTTCAAATTTTTTCACATTTAAAATTGAAATAATTGTTGCCAATTGATAAGTGCAGAAGCATAATCGAAAACAGTTTCATTATTCCCGAATTTTATTTAACATTTTGGACAGTTTAAAAGTACAGCCTTGTGAATTTTTCTTGAGAAATTAAACAAATGCATTACCTTTCCAACCTGTTTTGTCTGAAAAAATGCCACCACTAAAAATATAGCAGACACAACCCAGAATAAACTTCACAATTAATATTTGCCCTGAAAGTTCAACAACAGTAAAGCATTTCAGGTACTTTCAAGTTTGAAAAAATTATCAGAATGAAGGAATCAGTTCATTTAGATGAATATAAACTATAAACTATGTATAACTCACCGGTTGATAGTTGAATATTTTTAACACAAATAACGCATAAAAATTTTTAAAATCCTTCTTTCAAAGTAATGATGATTTTTCTTATCATTTTATACTATTTTTTCAGAGTTTAACTCAAAATCATAATTTCACATAAAAGTTTGACTGCAAAAAAAAAGTTTTTTCAAACATCACAGAGGAATGTGGAATTTTGAGAAATTTTGAAGAAGAAACCGACTTATTCAGGTTTATATACAAGTCTCGACAGTATATATTACCATTCACATTGTGGCATCTAAACTCAACTGTTTTTCAATACAATTTGCTTGGTTGACTTTCCCCATTTAAAAAAAATTGAAATTTAATTTTAAAAAAATGATTGAACTTGTTAAATGTTTGAACTTGATACGGCTTTGTATACGAAGCAAGTAGAATTTGATGCAAGCAGTCGACAGACGATCGAAAAAATATTTTCAAAACTAACTTAGCTGCGCTTGATTGCCTTCGTAGAAGGATCAAGTTTGGAACACATTAAACTTCTAAAGGTCGTATTTCGGAATTCAAAAAGATTCTTAATTTTGAGCAAACGCGGTCTGAATTTTTCCTTATTTCAGTCAATTTGAGAGGTATGTTTGAGTGAGCGATTATGCCATCATTTGATTCAAGTGAACTTTTTCAGATATAGTCAGCTCAACATTGCAGAGACTTTATCTGATTTTTGTATCGCCTAAAAGAAAAATTTTCTTCACCTAAATTTTTTTACATTCTTTTTGAATAGCACTCTTTGAGCGCGGCTTGAAATTTAAATTTGAAATGCAAGATGCAGGATTTATACAGAGGCGAAGCTGCATTTCGCAAACACTAACGAGAACACGAAAAAAAATCAGCTCGATGAAGATGTCTCGAATTCGATCTGCGACCTAGAGATTATGATTCTCAAACACTAACCACTCAGCCACAGACGCTCAACAGATCACAAACACCAGCCACAGAGAAAGCGAGAACAGATGCTAAGAAATTTGCAATGCTACAGTGCCACCATGCTCGTGATTATAGCAAAAACAGCCACCAAATAATGAACACTCTTACTTGTGAGCTAGGTTGGAGAAAAGAAGGTTCGTACTAAACACTAACGCCCACAAGCGCGCTAGTGTAATAATCAAAACAATCCAGCATAAACGAGTGCGAATTAACTTATCGCTTCAACACAAACAAAAACATGGTAACTGACTTTTTCATTCTCTTTTACATTTGCAGAACCGCCTTACAAGAGAATGATGCTATGGCAAACCTAATATGTAGGCTAGTCCGAATCAATCTTTAAAAAAATGTGCCCAAAAATGATGAAAAACAAATTTAAAACTTAGTTGCACAAAAAAATTGCACTTCACTAATCTGGAGACAAAAACGAAGAGCTTCATACAGCCGACACCAATCAATTGCACCCTATAAATGACAAATTGAAGATACCTTAATTATGATTTCAACATATCTCAATAATGCAATCACAGATAGAAATAATCGAATCAATTTTTATACAGAGACCAAGCGGAGCTTTGCATCACTTGCGATACAACTCAAGCGCAGCATTGCAAGCTAGCAAATAGAAAATGAGACACAAAGTGATATAATTTTAGAAAAACAGACGAAACACACAACCACGAGAATTGAATAAGCTTTTAGTTATAACCGAGCGCTAACTGAGCCGACAACCACTTGGTAGACGCTCATTGAGCCAAAAACAAAAGCCATAATATATTGTATGAAAAATTTTGAGAAATTAAGTTTTATCTTGCAACACAAACTACTTGAAGTTTTCAAGAATTGAGGTAACTAAGCCGATAAAACAAACTGCAACCACTTAGGCCGCATACATCTTAGCAACTAACTTTATCAATTACAGGAGTAAAAATAAAAACTTACATTTACAATAAAATAGCTGACAGTACACGAAAATTCCACGATGTGGCGAATAAGCCGATAAAATAACAGCAGACAAACAAAAATCTGATGATTCATTTTCTCCAGAAAAAAATTCAGTTTCGTGCATTCTGAAAAAACAAGGACCTGCCGGGACTCAAACCGCAGACCTTAGGGTACATAGGCAATCGCGTTAGCTCTAGGCTAAAAGGGAAGGAGTCTCAAAGGTGCTAAGATTCACTAATGAAGCAACTTCCAAATTTCTTAAGGTTTCAAAATGTAATAACAAAAAAGTTAAGAAAAATGGGATTCAAAAACGAAGCAAAAACAAACAAACATTAAGAACCTTGAAAAAACAGTTTTCAAAAATTTAAATGAATCCAGTGAAACCTCAAAAAAACCTTCTGACTTAGGAATTGCCTATGCTATGAACTAGGTTATTCAAAGATTGAAAAGATCTTCGGCTTGAACTTAAGCAAAAAAATTAATGCTCCCCAGCTATTTTAAGGCATATAACCTGCAAACAAACTCATTTCTCAAAAAAAAACAATGGTGCAATGCGCGACCAATGTTAGGGGTGTATTGGAAAAAGGTCTTGTAATGGAGCGAAAACACCAAATTGAGAAAAATGCGTGCGTATCAAAATCACAGCCGACAAAAAATGGTCCGACTTCGTTGCAATGTGTGACTTCGTTAATCAACTGTGACCAACCACTTACGCACCCTTCTTCCAAAAAAAAACAGCCAACTTCACAAAAAAATGAATCTTTTCTCATTTTTTTATTTCATGATAACTGACAGTGTCAGGTCGGCACCATTTATGCTATTATCAGAGCAACCGGATCTTCTGGTTTTTAGGTCTATCTCAGATTCGCATTCTGCGGAAACACCTCGACATTACGCTATCAAAATGGAAGTGGGGCGGACATCAAAAATAAATTTAGTAAAAATATTCACAATTCAAATGTGGACCCAGTGTATCTATTACTTCGAAATAAATACTCAATACAGTACAGTAAACACAGCGCTGCTTCTATTCTTATAATGAATGAACAAACAGCATAATAGTTCACGAGCAGAAGAGTATCGAAGCAGACAGAAAAAATACTTATCAGTGCCTTTTCTTGATTTTATTCCGAATGATATAATTTCACGAGGAAGACAAAACACATTCAACTCACTTCAGAGAATTATAACGCTAGGGTAATTATTCTAACCATGGACACTTGACATATTAAAGCCACTAAAACAATATCTTTTCTACTAGAGATTTAAAGGCCTGCCTATATTTCAAAATTTTATTATCAAGTGCCGATGATTACATTTTGACCCAAACGAATTCTGTTTCATTGACGTCTTCATTAAACTACTAGCCATTGAAAATGCCAAATTTACTGAAATCTTACGTTTTTTGCAGAAGAATTCTGAAAAAGCTATTTTAGTTAATCTTATCAGCAATGAAACAGGTCAGAAATATTTAAAAATAACTTCGTATGAGGCTTGACGTATTATTTTACGACAATTTTAAATAGAAATGAGTCAAAATAACTGAAATATATCAAAAATAAGTCTAATAGAAAACGCACAAAAGTACTACACAAAATTGGCGCTTGACACAAGACGAGACGAGACCGAACCTGCAGACGAATGTTGATTCAAGTTAATTCAATTCATTATCCATTAATTATCAATTCAATTCACAATTAAACGCCTAAAACCAGACAGAACAGACAAATATTGACAATAACTATCCATTTGTACTCCGACACCATTCAAGTTAATAATATCAGCCTGTATTATTAATACAAGAGTAAACAACACGATAGTCGCCCACCATTAATGAAATGCTGATTAAAAATTAAAATAATTACAGCCAATAACAGACGTTTAGTTTAGCACACGGCCAAATAAAGCTTCAGCTAAAAAAAAACAGTTAACTGCAAGTTCAAAACAACTTCGTCAATGGCCGCTTATGGTCACAATGGTCGCAATATCAATTAATGGTCATTAATAAGCACCTTCCAAAAACTCGACAAAAATAAGACATCGAGTTTCAAAAAACTGTACTATATTAAATATCTTACTTCACAGAAACTATAAAGAAACTACTTCAAAGAGTTCAACGAAATTATTTGCAAGACAAGGCAGTTTTTTCTTGCAGCTCAAAATGCGTACTCAAAACTCCATTGCTCATTTCTGTGTTCGAGGTGGCGTTTTTTGTGATGACTTATCGAGGCCATTAAATTGTATTACGCTTCTGTTTAGCTTGGCAAAAGGCTGCAGAAAACGGCGCACTACAGCAAATGATGTCCACCTGAAATCTTACCAACATTTCCAGTAGAAAGAACCAACATAGTACCAAAAAAAGATGGAATAATTTTGCACAAAATTGAGTATGACTTCAAACAAATAGCCTAATTGCCTCACTATAAAAGTGTAACTCAGGAAATATGACTCCTTGAACAGACCCGAGCCTTAAGCCCAGATAACCAAATGGAGATGAATTTGAAAGTTAATCCTTCAGTCGTGATTTTTTACCCCAATAAAAGTAATGTGGTTATAATAAATAACTGGTAGTGGCTTCACAACTATCAGTAATACCTTTTGTACTCGAATAAGTGACTGGCTGCCGATTCAGAAGGCTAGTTGGTCGATAACATGAAATGAGAAGAGTTTTGGAAGTGAATATTGTGTAATGGCGTGTTGCTCTTCATCTGCTAAGTCCACTTCGCTTGCGGAATTGGTCGATCAATTAACTGCAGCAGTAGAGATTTAAAATATGTCTGTCTAGTTTCGTCCAGTTTAGTCGAATGTATTTTATTCGTTTCTCATGTCAGGATATTTGAGCTGTTGTCGTGTCTGTTGATAATACTACTATTTCATTTCAAGAAGTTTGTTTGTTGAGCGTTGAAGTGTATTTGAGTTGAGTTGTAGTATTAATGGGAGTGGCGTTTTGTTGTTGCGTGGTTGGTAGCTGTGTTGCAGTGAAAGCGAAGGGGTTTAGCTATTATTCTCTTTGCCTTTTTTTCTGTTTCTGTTGTTCTCGTCTGTTCTGTTCTGTCCTGTTCGGTTGTTTTTCTCTCCTCTTCGTCAGTTATACTTGATACATGTTCTTGGTTACACTGTTGTTTCTCGTGATTGCATCGTCATGCGCCTAAAACATCAGTCTACTTCAAATACAGAACAGTCAAACTTAACTGCGTATTTCCTACGACTCATACCATACCAATTTGCCATACCGATTTGGCACAACTTGACATACCACTAGCCACTCGACTTCTTTAGTAGCCCCGAAAGTTACCTCTTCATTTTTTTCTTTTTGAAATTCGAACAATTCACTTTTTTTCTGTTTGCTTGTGTTCACTAACTCTTGTCCAACTGCCTGATCGCCATGTTTTATATGAGAACTTAAATGCTTTTTGATTTTGTTCAAACACGGGAGACTAGAGGGATAAAACTTATTTATGCCCGAATGTCATCGTAAAATAGGATTGGCTGATATATGCTCATAGTTTCTTAGCCTGTTTTATTCAGGCACTGTGATTTTTCGGGAACAAGGACATATATCAGCCAATCATATTTTACGATGATTTTCGGGCATACACATAAATTTTATCCCTCTAGTCTACCGTGTTTGAACAAAATCGGAAAAAATTTAAGTTCTGATATAAAACATGGCGATCAGGCAATTGGACAAGAGTCAGTGAACACAAGCAAACAAAAAATACTGACTTGTTTTTTTTTTTAAATCTCTTCGAATTTTGAAGAAAAAATGGAATCAAAATTCTAGAAAAAAATTATGATCGACTTTTATTGATAAATTAACCCAATTTTGAGAAAACTGGATCAATAAGTAATTTTTGATTTCGCTGAGTAGCTTTCGAAATTAGAAGTCGATCTCGGTTTTCGTGACCGTGCGGTCCGAAAATGGAGCTTTCCTTCCTTTTAACAAAAGAAACGAGGTGAACTTCAAAAGATCACAAGTCAAACTCCAAAAATTCAAATTTTAGCCTGAACAAATTGTAAGATTTTTCCTGAAAAAAGTCAAGACCTATATAAGAGTATTAACTGCTTTCATCGACTCTAAACAATTGTGCCACAAAAATACACAGGGAAAGCCGAGCTTCGCATCATTTCTGCTACATAAAAATAGCATTTTTAGTGATTGATAAGTTTCTGATGCAATTAGCCCAATTTGAGAAAACTGGATCAATGGAAGAGATTTTGGATAGTGCACATTGCCTTCCAGTTGGAGGGCAAAACCTAAGCAAGAGTCTTCACTTCGTTCATTGTACAATTTCAAGCGAAACAAACTTGCTAAGTTAGGATCGACAAGCCTACTCTTCTTTGACAGTAACTACAAGATATCATTAAAAATAACAGACAGACAATTGGAAAAGAGTCAATGAACTCAAGTAAACAAAAAAAACACTTTTCGAAAAATAGCTCAAAGTACAAATTTCAAAAAAAAATAGATGCCCTTAAAGCTCTTTGAATTTCTTGAACAATTTATGATTGGAACTTTTCTCATAATTAAACGAATTTGAGAAAATTGGATCAATAAGAAGGCCAGTCATTCCGCTGGGAAATATGAAACTCAAATTGAACTTTCGATATTAGAAGTCGATTACGTTTTTATGAGCTTTACACTATTGCGGTTCGATAGTGGAGTTTTCCTTCCTTTTAACAAATAAAAAAATCTGAATTTAAAAATCTGAATTTAAAAACTAATTGCCTAAACCACTCCTTCTGCTTCTTGAATAACATTTCTTCGAGCTACAATCAAATAGTAAAAAGACTGCTCATATCAGGCCAAAAACTTGATGTTCCGGTTGCCCACCAACGTGAACAAAATATTTTGGGTTAAACATTGACAAGATTTTCAAAAAAAATGAAAAATATGTTCCAGCCGGATTCATTCATAACCTACCACATTACGGACGCGTTTAACTATGGTAACTTCATGCGCATTCATTATCCCATTTTTGCTTTGAAGCCAAATCGATAACCAGGCAAAATGATACTGCTTTAAAAAAATCAGCGAATAAAGCTAACGCTAAATAAAATAGCCAAATCGAAACAAAAACTGTTTTATGAAATATATCACAACCATTTATCACACAAACGAGACTGCCCGTATCAGGGCGAAACAAAAAGTTACGAATTCCCTTTAAAATCCATGAAACAAAAAGTGACGAACGCAAACACTTATGATATAAACGCGGAAATGCCATCACCTGAGATGCAACGCAGGCATAGCATTGCAAGCAAGCAAACATAGCCAATAAACAGTTGGAAAAGAATCTATGAACGCAAGTAAACAGAAAAAAAAACGCTGCCTTTTTTGAAAAATTTCAACATTCAACGTTTGTCGTGGACCTTAACACGTATGCTAATCGATATTAGAGTTTGTTTTCTTTTTAACAAAGGAAATGAACTGAACTTGAAAAAAAAAGTTGAAACCGCAAAAAATCAATTTGACCCGATCATATTTTAAGACTTCCTGAAAAAAAAATCATCACGACCTATGTAAGAAACTGAACTAGGTTCATCGACTCTTAAACAAAGACGGAATAAACGAAAAATTCAGTTTCAGAAAAACAGTCGGTAACGCAAATACCAGCATTGAAGACGCTTTTACTATTAACTATCGGCCACTAATCCGGCAATAAATGGGTACACAACCGTTGAGCCAAAAAAAATATAACTGAGTTTTTGCAACACAAACGTATTAATTCAAAATAAACACTGTTTGCCCTTCAAACGGCACAAAATAAGTTGACTAAGCCAATACAAAATAAGCCCAATCCATATAGGCCGACTCAAATTTCAAGTAAAAAAAAATAAAATTAAGCAAAGCCAGGGCTAGTAATTTTTAGATAAGTGGAGAAAATCATCGATACTTTCAATTACAGGGATAAGGGCTTACAGAACAATAAAAATCGGTTATGTGTCAACTAAGCCGACAAAACACAAGCAGACAAGCAATAGGCCGACAATGCAAGTTTTTCCGAAAAAAATTTCAGAACCTGTTGATAACCCGGACAAAATACAGCAAGCGATAAAAATTAACCTTGTCAAATCGAGATTCTTCATCAGACGATAAGCTATCTGAAAAAACAAACTTCGGAGAAACTCATATTTCGGCACTGACGAAGATGTAAAGCAACGATGAATGATGACAATGACAAACAGTACAAGGATAGCCATTTCGGTGCAAGTAGCACTATGTTCCGACCACATTCACAAAAAAAACTACATTTTTTTGTGAAACTGTCATTTGTTGTGCACATTGTGATGAGAAAATAAAACGAACGCATAGAGTTGTGAAACAGACAACATCGCCAATAGTTGTCTTGAAAATGAACCAAAATCATGAAAACAATCAAAAAACATTTTTTGTTTTATAGAAATTGCTGATTGTTTTTTGAAAACATTTTATTGCCAAGAACTCGCTAAAAAAGTCGCAAAACAATTTACCGCCGAATACGAATAAATTTTACACAACTTGAAGGAAAATTTTTTAGTCTTTATGAGGTCATGAGGCCTACTCGCTCAGGGATTCGACCCCCTCACCAACCAAAGGGTCAACGCTTAGATTTTTTTATGACATCCACTTTCGGCCAACCAACTCTAAATTTTTCTAAAGGCGCCAATATATGCCAACTTTGAAGAGGATCCTGCGACGAGAAAAGGCAATTTTTTGGTCAACCTTTTCCCATAAGTGCTCAAAACCGGCTTTTGTACTTGTTTTTTTTTTAAATCTGCCTGTGGCGCAAAAAATTGTCAAAATAGGATTTTTATAGGGCTCTGGGAGCGCTCGGATAATCAATTTGTTTGGCCCAGAAAAAGGTCAACAACATTTTTTGAATATCCCCCTCGAGAAAACCCTAGATCCGCCCTTGATTTTTGTTACCGAATTTTGAGTCGAAAACCCTAAGAAAATAACAAACACACCCGAACTTCAATTCAAATTTCTTCCCAATTCTCAATGGTCGGAACAATAACTAGAAAGTAAGGCCCTGCCATCTGTTCGTTTTAAAGTTCAAGGACAAAACAGATTGATTAGTGAGAGAAAAACTACATCATGATAATGAAGTGATCTGTTACTTCACTGTGTAATCTCAATAATATTTGCGTATAACTAATCCTTACAGCTGTAGCTGCTGGAACTACCAGAAATCCTGAAGCACCAGAAACCGAAAAAGCAATCCGAGCAGAAAAAAGCATATAAATTTATCTCTACTGAAGTATAATGCTTGCTAGAAAACTACGCGAAGGACATGCCAACGATTCTTTCAGACACAAGGTTGAAATGTCCTCCATACCATCAAATTGGCAAGTACGAGCAAAATTATCGTAAATTATTGTAAGAGCGGTGGTGAAGTGGTTACGTCTCCGCCTCTCAATCGAAAGGTCGGATGTTCGCGGTCCACCATGATCCGTCCTCGTTGCTTGAGGGTGAAGAAGCAACATTAACCAGCCCAGAAAAATAACCAAAAAAATTGCATGTAGTTCTTAAACAGGGGCACAACAGCGGTTCGCCGTGATGAGCTGTACAGCTCTTTTGTTGGTCCTTTCCCCCGTGGATAAATGGTCTTAATCTTAATTGTAAGAGCAAAATTATTGATGATTGTTTGTTTTGAATGAAATGATTTTGAATGAAAAAATTATTTCTTTCTTTTAAAATTGACATGACTTACTAAAAAGTGGACGAATACTAGGGTCTTGTAAATTTTCGCTATTGATTGAGAGGAGATTTTCGTGAGGGAAGGGGGCTTGTATAGAGAATGATTTAGCAAGTAAGCTGAATGTGTTTCGTGGTTACGTAGCAGTATTTAGACAACCGCGTATTCAGGCAAGTCAGTATTTAGACAAATACTGTTTCAACCAATCAGAATCGAGACAAAGAAGAAATTAATAAATATTATGATTTATTTTGGATCATTTATGTCTTATCTCGATTCTGATTGGTTCATACAGTATTTCTCTAAATACTGACGAGCAGGGGCGGATCTAGGATTTTCTCGAGGGGGGGCGGATTTTCAAAAAAATTTTCAAAATTTTGACGACCTTTTTTTTTTTTAGGTAGACCAAATTGATTTTTCGAGCTCTCCCAAAGCACTGTTTTGCCCCTACTTTGGCTAAAGTTTCTGTGCCGCAGGCAAATTTTTGAAAAAAAACAGTCAAAAGGGCCGTTTTTGGGCAATTTTTGAAAAAATTTGACAAAAAAATCGCGTTTTTTTGGCGCGCGCTCCCCCTCAAAGTTAGTATATATTGGCGCCCAAGGCGCCTTTAGAAAAATTTTAGGGTCGGTCGGCCAAAAATGGATTTCTAAAAAAAGTATCAAAGGGGGGACCCTTTGGGTCGGCAGAGGGTCGAATCCCTGACGAGTATGAATGCGCGGTTGTCTAATGCGTCCGTGTTTAGTCTTCTGTTCTTACCTGGAAGTTGAGCACTGTGGATTGCTTCAGCTTCAGACGTTCTTTGATTTTCCTTCTGAAACAGAACAACACAACCCACACATTATAGTGACCGACTACAAAAAGTGTAACCATTTATGATGTAATCAACATTTTCTGATATCAATTCATTAAGCGTAAAATAACCATAACTGCTTATGAATATAATGTGTAAAAAACGACTGTTTGAAACTTAAAAAAAATTGTTCAAATTGACCATGCTGATTGTTTTATTGTAATTGACCATGTTTTTTTTATAATTGCGTATGGTAACAGCAAAAAGGACTTTATAAAGCTCTCTTAGGCAAAACGTGAGAAGCAAGGAACTGGGAAAGAGCCAAAAAAAAATTGCTTTTTTCCAGTCCAGAACGGTTTCACCAAAAAATCCACGTAGGGTACTGGAAAAGAGCCGTAGAATTAACATTTCTTCAATGTTTCCTTTCTCCTGTGGATTTTGCTGTGCTGTGTTGTCTTACCCTATCTGGGTGACTAGTAGTTCCTCTGTCTTGTGTCCCACCCAGATCGACACTCGGTCCCCCCTAGGCCGCACACTGACCACACACCCATTCACCAGCAACCCCGCCTCATCCTCAAACGCCTCCCCTAGAGCACACACACATTTATTACACACACAATTAACAAAGATAGCCACCACTTCTATGCAAAAAGACACGCGACACTCAGTTAATCATGACAGTTCAACCCCACCCCCCCATTCAAACTTTTTTATATAGTTAATTTACGAATTATTAAAGTTTAAGGTTAAACGCGTAATATTGTGATGTTATGTATGAATAATAAATCTGTTCACATGCGGGGAAAGACCACCCAAAGTTTAAGATCCAACTACGGAAGGAACCGGAATAGAGCTACGCAATTCTTCATGGAGATTCACTATTATCACTGCTTAGGAAGCATCTTAGGGCGCCCTCAAGCATCGGGTACACATCATGGCAAGCCTCGATACACTGAATTTTCCACAAGAGAGGCAGATATGTATTGACGTTGAAGTCATTAATTAATGTGTATTTCAAGGCTACATGCGAATTAATTCACTCGAAATAGCTAATTGCTCCAATGGAAATATTCATACCATCATCAATTATTATTTGGCACCCTTATCATGTATTCAAGGGTGCACTTTGAAAGTTGAAATATTATTGGAATTTTAAACCGAGAAGAATCGTACCTGCTCTAATATGAGCTAGGTTCCCAATCGTTATTTAGCTAGCAGCTACAGCTGAGTAAATACATCCAAATAAAAGGAGACAGCAGTTCGCTTTCTGTCCGGTTCCCCGTTCTGTTTAGTTATAATACAGCTTACGCCAATAAGGATGAAATAAATTCTGACAATGAGGGGAAAGATGGTTTAAAAACCAGTCGAAAATGGGCAGAGGATATAAGGCATTGGTGTTAAATATCCTTGATTTACGTAACTATTACGTAATTGTTAGATAATTATGGCATAGCTCTTCAGGACTTTCGACTGATTTATACACATAGCATCAAAGAGTACAGTGTACTGACCGATGAGACAGAGGAGTGTCTCGAGCCAGTACTTGTCCACCTCCTCCTTGAGGTTCTTGGGAATGGGCATCACCCACCTGCCCCCCGTCCTGTTGTGCTCGTCCTCCCACTTGGGGATGATGCCCTCCTTGAACAGGCAGTAGTCACAGCCTACACATAACACACAACACAGGATAATAACTTAACGCAATGTTAACTAACACTGTCACTGAGTTAGTGTGACTGCTTGAAGGTCACTGACCTTTAGCGAGTTGTGAAGCTGGCTTGATGTGGTTGAAGAGTGACCAGAAGTCCTCGACGGTGGAGAACTTGTGCACTATCTTCAGGTTGTCCTCCCACTTCCCATTGGCACTCTGACCCCCACCCTGCAGGAACCACAACACCCATACATTCTCCAGGGGATGGCGCAGAGAATCGTCCGAGGTGGGACCTACACCACAACATTACATATTTAACACACGCCACTCCAGTGCACAAACGAATATCGAGTAGTTCCGCACTTTTCGACCTTGTTATTGTTTTTCACTCATTTCTCTTCCAACAAGATGAGCTTGACCTGATGATATGAACAACTTTAATGAGGACTCTAGATGTTCGTTGAGCAGTTTTAAGAAACTGAATAACAAAATTACTGAATGGTACAAAAGGTACATCTGAATTAAAAAAAAACACTTCAATGCGAATAGTAAGTCTACATAGCATTACTAATCCATTGTGAAAATTCTTCCTACATCCAACCTGTTTTTTTTTAAAGAAATGCTTGACACAATACAAAAATGAACATATTTTATTCAAGCTATATTAAAAACATATATAGCCAACCGACAGTTAGAGAAAAAGTGTCATTGGCCTCAAGGAAACAGAAAATGATTTTTTTTATTTTGATAATTTTAGCGCCATTGGAACTTGCGTAATTGGAGAGTGTAATTTACCTTCCTTTCAGCATATGAATTTGAATTAACTTGAAAATAAATTAAAAACATGCGAAAAAAAATTGGACAGGATTAATTCTCAAGCATTTTTCCTTTAAAAACAACACAAACTATATATTTGTATCATTCCGTTCATTGACTCTGAGAAATGTTTTCAGAATTTTTCAAATATTGCTCAAATCACGACTGAAAGGGTTTTGATAATGATACATAGAGGCGAAGCGGAGCTTCGCGTTACTTGCGACACCACAAAAATAGCATTGCAAGCTAGCAGACAGAAAAGAAAAAGAGAGCCACTAACACCAAAGATAACAGAAAAGCAGCGAACAAATGCTATGCAATTTCCAATGCTACAAGGAAATTTCCAATAATTTTAACACTTTCAATGAACACTTTTATTTGCGAGTTAGGTTAGAAAAAAAGAAGGTTCGTAATAATGCACTAAGCTGATCGCTAGTGTAAAAAAGGAAACTATACGAAGTCAAGGCTGGTGGAAACAAAATTGCAGGAGTAAATGAAAAATAAAAATCAACTACAATGAAAATTGAATAAAGCAAAAAAAAATCTAAGATGTGGCAACTAAGCCGACAAAACGTAAGCAGTCAAATATTTATACGACAAATATTTCCCATTTGAAAAAAAGACAAATCCTTGTAAGACTCGAAACCAGGACTTTTGCCATCCCAGGCGTATTCGTTACCTCCAGACTAAGTGTGGCGGAGACGCTTAGAAATTTGAATTCATTATGAAACAAGATACCAAGTGATTCTGTTTAACAAGTCTTTAACCCAAAAAGTCTATAATCCGATTTGATAACGCTTGCTAATCGCAAGCGTAATGACATAGCCAACAGACAGTTGGAAAAGACTCAATGAACGTATTGAAAGAAAAAAACGGACTTGATTTTTGGAAAAACTTCATGTTTCGAAATTCAAAGAAAAAAAATATAAGGTCTAAAAACTCTTGATGTTACAAGAACAATTTTTTCATTGACACTTTTCCGATAAAACTAACCCAATTGAAAAAACTTGAGCGCTAGGAAAAGTTTTTATTCCGCAGCAAAATCTAAGAATTAATTTCCACTTTCGAAACAAGAAATAGATCACCTTTTTTCGCTCTATTTCCTCTCTAGTAATCGGGAAGCGAATTCTGCCTGCCTTCTAGCAAATGAACTTGAATTGATCTCAAAAAATGCACATATAGCTAGGGGCAATCATAAATACATAAATGTATGCATGCACCAGTGTGAAATATTAAAGCATTTCATGACTTTTCCTGAAAAAAATCATCACGACCTATATAAGAGTCTGAAGTCGTTCACCGACGCTTTATCACTCAGTCGCATTGGATGTATCTTTCTTTAAGTATCTGATTAAGCTTGGAGAAAAGGAAAAAGCAAGAGCACATCAGAATGCCAAGTTACTTCCCAGTTCATAGCTGCAACAAAAAAATATGCTGCCTTAAACAAGTCTAACAAATCGTACGTTTGATTAACAAAATGATAGTCGTCAAAACAAATCCAGTAAATAGTTAAGTGTCAATGAACTCAAACAAACCGAAAATGATTGTTTTGAGCAACTTTCACATTTTGAATTTCGGAGACATATATCACGTTAAAGACATGAGAATTTCGATCATCTTCCATGATTGATTCTTTCTCAAAAACCTAGCCCAATTAGTGAAAACTGCGTCAGTAGTTTTTTTTATCATTCCGCTGGGAATTCTGAATATTTAAATCCACTATCGAAATTACAAGTCGATCACGTTTTTCGTGACCTTGACACTTTCGGTAGAGGAGTTTGTTTGCTTCCTCTTTGAGGAGTTTGAACTTCCAAAAAAATCAAACCGCGAAAAATCATATATAATTTTGAGACTTTTCCTGATAAAAAAAATAAAAACATCATCTTCGCTTCATTCATCGACACTTGATAAGTGATAAATCACTTCGTTCATTAAACCTTAAAAATTTGAAATACATAGGCAACGAACATGCTTTGAACGACGCTAGGCAAATACGACGACAGAACATTAAGACATGACATGAGACAAATGAGCGTAAAAAAAAATTAAAATAAATTGTTCGAATTCATAAGCGGTTCATATTTCTTAGAAAAAAGTTTGGATTATTGCGTGTAGCGTCGTCATAAAGTCTCGTCAAAAACGTTTGACGTCTTAACAGCGGTCTTCTTATTATTCTGACACCGTTTTGAACAGCAAACATCTATAATATCTAAGATTTTTGCAATCGGATGAGCGCCAAATAATTTCATGTCGATAAAGAAAGAAATGACCGAGAGTCCTTCAAATTTGCCGATATGCAAAAAACCGCAATACCTTGAAGCCAAAATTACATCACAATAACGCAAATTACATTTAAAAAATACGTAACAATTGCATAACAACAGTGCCAATCTGTTGTTATGTTGCATAACAATATTAATTTTGCGCTTTTTGGAATCGTAATAGTATTTTCGGCTTCTTGGCTCTTCGGCTTGTTGGCCTAGCATCTTCAAACTATGTAATGGCGACTAACCGTTGGCGGAGTTGGAGGATGATAAAGCACCTGGTATATTGGAGGGGGGACTATGGCTCGCACTGTTACTGCTGTTGTTGTTCATTGCACCTGCTGTGGCCTGGTGTTGGGAGGAGGGGGAGGGGGCTGAGGGGGAGTTTAGGTTCTCATTGCTGTTCGTGTTTGAGGAGGACATGATCATGTCTATGTTAGTGTTGTTGTTGCTGTTTCGTGTTGTGATGTTTGTTGTTGTATTTGTATCTGACCTCAAATGGACACCAGTTGTCATTTTTATACTATACTATATCTGAAACCAACAGCACACCAAATAAATGCATTAATCGCATAAAGTTAATGCTAACACCCAATATGTAAATTGCAAGAACCAGGAACATGTGAACAATCTCCCCTTAAATAGACCAAATGAACAATTTACCCTTTTAATTAAATGGTCAATTCGAGCAGTAAGGCCTAAATGTACTACGCTCAAATCTGATTGGCTGAAAAAGAATGCTTTGAATCAATGAACAATCTCCTCCTAAATTGATTTAGGTGGGAGATTGTTCACTTGGTCCACGAACCGAATTGTTAACAATTTCCCATTGGTACCAGAGTATTGACCAGCTTAAAGCGAAAATGAAAAAAAAAACGGCCGATCAAGGAGTCCGATGCGAAAACGGCCGATGCGAAAGCGGCAAAAGCAATCGGGAAATTTCCAAAGCATTAACAAAAGCGGAAAAGCGGTTTGAATTTCCGCCAAAAATGGCTAGTTAAAAAGTCGAAATTTGTCTGAAGAAAAAAAACCCACCCCGAGCACAAATATTCCGTTACTTTCGTATCGAAAGTCGGAACAATAAGCATGATAAACCCGCAGACTAAAATAAAAACTTCTAAAGTCTGTTCAATAATTAATATTGTCCTACAACAGTTCATCGAAAAAATGAGGATTAACTATCTGCTCTTCGCCAAAATTGAGTGTGAATAGCAAAAAGTTCTGCCCCCTGTGTTTCTCGACAGACAACTTTTTAAATATTTTAATATGATACCAGAAATGACCATTTAAGAACTTTAGTTAAGCTGACAAAATTTGGTATCTACAAGTGAGCGGGACAATACTTCGAAGATAAGATTTTTTGAACGAATGCCAACATCACAAAGCATTTTTCATTTCACAGAGCAATGCGTCATCGAGTGTTTGCATTATTCATTTTACTAATTACAAAGAAACTCGATTTAGTAGAAAAGTAAGGCAATAATACAAATAACTTTCAAGTCTATTTACAAAAACTAACTCATTATTTTAATTCGGTTCAGGTCAGCAATTGTTTCAATGTGGCTGAGTCAGTCAGTATAGATATGTCCGGATTATAAGCACAATTTTAATGTTGTCACGTGAGGTTGTTTATAGCAATTCCCATTCACAGATTGACCAGCTCCTGAATTCCACAAACCTGCAAAAGACAACGAATCACTCCATCAACATGAAACTGATCTTTTTTTACTGATCTTACTCAAACGTCCGCCTTAACGCAGAAAACTTTCTATAAATCAATATTCACTTTTACTACAAAGTTTCCATTGTGAAATTGTGACGAAAACCACTGCATTGAAACAAATTTTTCAAGAACTGTATCAAAAGAATTAAATTTCAAAGAATATGGGGAGAAACATTCGCCACATTAAAACATAACCAACAAACAGTTGGATGTGTCAATGAACTCAGGGAAACCGAAAATAATGACAGACCTTTTCAACAGCTAAATTTAAAAAATCTTCTATGATTGACACTTTTCGAATAAATGAATCCAACTCCAGAAAACTGGATAAATGCACAGTTTTTTTAAGTTCCGCTGCGAATTCTGAACATTATAATCCATTTTTAAATGCCAAGCACGTTTTTTCGCACCACTTGAAATTTTGTTATTCGAGAGCGGAAATAGCCTTCCTTTAAACAAATTCAACACAGAGTCGAAGCTACAGCTCGAGCGAGAAAGTGGCAAAAAAATCAGGAGCTTCAAAATCCACAAAACTCCACAATGCATGTAATAATAACTTAGAATGTATTAAACCAAATTGTAAATAAATTATACATTTCAAAAAAACTCGCGACGTACATCAAAATGGAAATTTTCTGAAAAGGGAGTTTAACACAGAGACGAAGCGGAGCTTCGCGCCACTTGCGATACAACACTAACATAAAGAAAAACATAAAAAACAAAAAAAGAAAATTTTTGAAGATAAAAACTAGGCGTAGGCCATTTAAACTTTCATATGTCTCGATAAAGTTCACTCCAGGAAAACATGCTAAAATTTTGAATCAGCAACAACGGAACAAAATTTACGAAAAGAAACAAAGCCAACAATCTTTGAGCAGACACAATTTAATTTGAGCCGCAAAAAAAAAACACGATTTGAAAAAAGTTTCAAGTCCCACCTTAAACAACAAGGGACAACACTTGCAACTACAATGAAAGTTGTTCACAGCACAAGAAAAATCAGTGATGTGGAGCCAACAAACTTTGAGCTGAAACCATTTGAACCGAAAAAAAATGATTTTTGAGAGAAACTCAAAATTAAAAAATCTAATAACCGAAAAAAAATCATCTAGCACAGCATAGCGGAAGATCGCTAAAAAGTGCCAGAAATCAATCGATAAAAACACGAGCCAAGATAAAGTTAAATAAACAAAGAAGAGGTAAAATATGCCTTTAAAATAAAAGTTTTGCTATCCGCCGAATCGAACCACTAACCATCTGCCATGGTCGCTTGAAAATGAGCAAACACTAGCCACGAAAAAAGTCGAAAAAACAGATGCCATTTAAATGATTATCCAATGAAGCAATAGTGCCACCAAGTGCGCACTTTCATTTGCGATTAGGCTAAGAAAAAAAGTAGATTCCTGATGCAGCTCAGGATCTCGAATTAATATCATCCTGTAGAAGATCGATTTTTTTGAAGAAAGACATTTGAAAAATAAACTGTTAAACAGATGAGGAACTTCTTTGTGCGAGAACGGAAAAGTCGACAACCCTTGTTCATGGAATTTTAATTGCCTGTGTTCAAAGTGTCGCGCCAACCCGATGTGCTCTAAATCTTGGGATCACATCTCAGTGCCATATCCACAAAACCATAATAATAATAATAATAATAATAATAATAATAATAATCATAAATAACAACATAACACTACGCTCGCTTGTGCAAAAATTGATGAAAGAAAAAAACATTCAACAAATTATCATATCTCGATTTGCCTCAAACAAAATTCACTTTAGAAGAAACATATCGAGAAGGACAATTGACGAGCTTAACTTAGCAATATAAAAACATAAACAAAGCGGTCTAACCAACGGACAATACTTGGTTGGTGTCCCGAAACTCTAAAATCCACTCAGCGTGAATTTTTTTGGCCGAACAAAAGACGCATAATGAGGCAACTGTACGCCGAAACCTCTTAAACCAAAGATAACTTAGATAAAAAAATTACAAAAAAAAACTACAAAATCGGAGTTGGTACTTTAAAAAAGATGATACACAAACTTCGGTGAGATTTAAAACTCAGCCACTGTGACTCAAAGATTGCAGGCAGTAACGAAAATGAAGCAAAATTCTTTTTACAACTTATAGCACAATTTAAAACAAATAACTTTTCGAAAATATACAAAAGAAAACTTACCAAGAGATAACATAGCCGAAAATATCTAAAAAAAAAACCTTCTAAGGAAAATAAAAAAGACTTCCAAACTAACTAAACGTTATTTAGTCGTCTTCTTCTCAGTACACACACATGCACACAAAAACTTTTTCGCTCTTGGAACGACGAAAAATGAGGCCACAGCCGATATAACTAGGCCGAGAGCTATTGAATCGAAAACAAAGAAAAAAACGAAATTTTAACATATTGAGTTGGTAAAATTAGTTCCAACGTGAAAACAAATTTCGATACAGAGGCGAAGCTGCGCTTTGCAAACACTAGCAAGAAAACGACAAAAAAATGCTCTATAAAGTGAATTAAGAAAAAAATAGAAATAAGGCTCGAATAAGTGAAAATTCTGGAACGTATCAGATTCGATTCTTCGACTTAGTTATTATGAATCTCACGCACTAACCACACGGACGCTTCACAAATCACTAGTCACAAATAATGCAGAGAACAGATGCTACGAAATTTTAAATGCTACAGATCGTGATTTGAGGAAAAGTGCCACCAAATGCGCACAACTATTTGCGAGTTACGTTGGAAAAAAGAAGATTCGTACTAATACACTATTCTCGCAAGCTAGCTAGTGTGAAGAGGGCGGACATTCAAAATGCCTACATGCTCAAAATAAGTCTGCTGCAGTATTTTCAACACAGGGGACCAGGAGAAGAGACCTGTGAACACAGTTACTAACAGGGAAAAAATATATTATACCTGTTGCAACACACTTGCTATCGCAAGAGTACATAATGGTTTAAACTTGTTTTGAAGTGACCGGAACAGCAAAAGGTATATTAAGAAGAAATCGATGAAGCAAGCAATTCGCAGTATTTTTTCTAGCACTATGACAAAAAGCTTATTAACCTTGTTCCAGGGAAGAGCCAAGTCTATCTTCTTGGGGTAGTCCAGTTTCATCTCATTCATGAACTGAACAAACTCTTCTTTGGTCTTAGTCATCCGCGGATTCAGCCTCTTTTCCTCGTCCACACTTGAGACACTTCTCCCTGTGTAGTCATGAGCAGGGTAGATCAAATAGTCTGAGTCCAGGGAGAGGATTTTGGAGTGGACCATGTCAAAAAGAACGCCTGGAATATTCAAACCACCCTCGAAACTCATAATAAACTCAAAATTCTCGAAATTTTTCCCTATTTGATAGTATTTTAAACATAGCATCAGCAACATTTCATTCATAGCAAACCTTAATTTTTGACCCATTTAAGAAGTTTAACTTCTTCGAATTCAAAAACTCCGCTGTAAGTTTTCGTCAAACTTGCAACCCGCTCAACTAACTAGAGGCCAGCTAAAGCTGGAGATACCTGTTTGACGGGGTGAATCAAGGACGGGTCATACCTGCGAATCGAGGACTGGAATACCTGTTTGACGGGGTGAATCAAGGACGGGTCATACCTGCGAATCGAGGACTGGAATACCTGTTTGACGGGGTGAATCAAGGACGGGTCATACCTGCGAATCGAGGACTGGAATACCTGTTTGACGGGGTGAATCAAGGACGGGTCATACCTGCGAATCGAGGACTGGAATACCTGTTTGACGGGGTGAATCAAGGACGGGTCATACCTGCGAATCGAGGACTGGAATACCTGTTTGACGGGGCACTGGAGAAGACTGAGGCAGTGAGTCACTCAAAGAACTTGCTCGACACGATTGACACTATCGCGGCTCGAACGGTAGGAACGAAAACGGCATTTTTTTTGGCTCAACTCTAACTTCGACCAGCAAAAAAAATGGCGGGGAAAAATTTGGGAAAAGATGGTATAAATTTTTTATTTTTCGTCGATTTGTTTTGGAAAGTTTTCTGAAAATTTAGAAAATGAAACTCATCAAAAACTTGGGAGACAGATGGCAACGGAAAACAATCCTCAAGCCAAAACAAAACCATGCAAAGAATTAATTGTAAGATTAACATTAACGAATGCATTTTGATTTTTCACCCCGTCAAACAAAGCACAATACCATTGGAAGTAATGGAGCGTGTGAAAAATTCAGCCATGTAACAGCTTATGTAGAGGAACTTTCCACATCCCTTTCTACTCATTAAACCAACCTCAGATTTGGGAGGGTAGATTTCGAGACAAGTCAAAAAGTTTCAAAAACGGTAAAAAAAAATCGACGTTTTCCGAGTCATTATTTCTTGTGTAATTTAGCGTAGTCGCTTATGCAGGGTAGCTTCGCACAACTCGTTCTACCTATTAAAACTTTAAACTTTCAAGAAAATGTAAAGATCCCAAAACTTTTGTAAAAAATAACCCCCTCCCCACACACACACACTTTTTCGAAGTCTGTAGAAAGTGGGGTAATGTAAGAAGAGACTAGGGGATTATGCAGGCACACAGGGAAGTTGGCGGACTTCTTATTGGTACCATTTTTTTTGGAAAACGGTAGAGTAGTTTTTGAGAAAAACTAAACTTTTGAGAAAAACTAAAAAGAACTTGTTAGGTTGAAAGATGCTGAAAACCTTGCTCATTAGATTGGGGCGGGTAGTTTTCGAGAGAAGCCAAAAAGTTTCAAAACCGGTTGAAAAAATCGAAAATTTGACTTTTCCGAGGGTCATAACTTTTTGTTTAAAAAAATAGGCGTAACCGCTTAATAAATGGAGCTTCCCACAACCCGTTCTTCACACTGAAACCAATATCTCAGATCGGGAGCGTACTTTTTGAGAAAAGTTAAGTTTCAAAAAACAGTCAAAACTTCGACTTTTCAGAGAGTCATAACTGTTTGTGTAAAAAAAATTTAAGCAAAATTGTTTAGACAGCCGACCTTCCCACAACCCATTCTACTCATTGAATCCAAAATCTCAGATTTGGGAGGCTAGCTTGCGAGAAAAATCGAAAAGTTTCAAAAAACGGTCAAAAATCGTAAAGTTGACTTTTCTGAGGGTCATAACTTTTTGTGTGAAAAAATTGAGCGTGACCGCTAATGCAGAGGAGCTCTTCACAACCCGTCTGTTCGATTGAAACTAAAATCTCAGATTTAGGAGGATAGTTATCGAGAATAGTCTAAAAGTTTCAAAATTTCAAAAACTCGATTTTTCTGAGGGCCATAACTGTTTGAGTAAAAAACAATTGGGCGTAGCCGCTTATACAGGAGAGCTTCCAACAACCTTTTCTATCCGTTGAACCCAAAATCTCAGATTTGGACGAGTAGTTTTCGAGAAAATAAAAAAAAAATTGGGGTCAATAATCATCCCCCCCCCCCCCCCCAGGTTATAGAAAGTGGGATAAGGTAAAAAAAGAAGAGACTAGGAGAATATGCAGGCAGACAGGTGAGTGGCCGGACTTCTCATTGTTACCACTTTTATCAAACAGGAATTATTCACTCAATTTTACTATGACGCTCCATAAATAAAATGAAAAGAGAATCAATTTGTTCACCTGGATCACCCTCCTGGAAATCAGTTCTGCCACAACCCCTGATCAGGAGAGCGTCTCCTGTGAAAACCATTCGGTGCTGGTGGTCCACATAAGTCACGCAACCATTTGTATGGCCAGGAGTTTCTCTTACTTCCAGAAAGTATGGTCCGAACTGGATCTTAGATCCCTCTGATACATACTCATCCGCTTTAGCCCCAGAAACTTTGCTGATGACGGAAACACAAGGTTTATCCGCATCTGTGAATAAAAATAAACCACTCCTTGAAATCAAATTTTCTATACTTCTCGTTCAAAATTAATGAGAACAAAAAAAATGCGTCGATGATCTCTCGGACAAAAACATAGCTATTTGAAAAAGCTTAACATTCACCTGTGCTTGTAACTTCTTTCAACTTGCCAGTTCCTGTTATGTGGTCTGCATGCATGTGCGTGTTGATAGCATATTTCAAAATGAGACCAAGATCCTTTATTTGACCAAGATCACGAGCAACAGTTTCCAGCACCGGATCAATCAAAACAGCTTCTTTTGAAGGTTTATCTGCCAGAAGATAAGTGAATGTCGATGACTCTTTTTCAAAAAACTGTCTGAATATAAAATTAGAATCCATGTTCGTCGTGATTGTTCTCTTGAAACGTGCTGATTTTGATAAACAGCGGGAATTGGGTTTGCATGCACTAAATTTTAAGTACCGTAATTGTTTAGCGAATAAAAACAGCATTCGATGTAGTCGAAATCAAACGCCTGAAGCGCTCACCATTAACTGAAACGTTATGAAATATAAGCAAAAGCTCTTATTAAGACCTCTATATTATTTTTTATAGTCTTAATTAGGTAGTGAATAGTGTTTGGTTCAAGTTATAAAAGGCCGGGTTGGTCATGTAACATTCGCCCGGAAGTACATACCGACGGAAAGTAAAGCTATGTAACAGTCGCCTACTTCGGTCACATATGAGGCTTAAGAAGAATAGGCCCTATAACCATTGGCTCAAGAGTCAGGGACACTATCTCTCGTGTTTTTCTACCTCAAGAACGGTCGGAGCCAATTCGGTTCGCTTGCGACATGAGACTAGAACCCGTTACAGCTTAAAGGCTACTACCAAGATATCCCCCCACTCTAGAAAATAAGAACGTTCCCATACTTAGGTCTCGAAATACCCAAAATACACGAACGCCGTTAAAAACAGGGTCGGAACAATCCGTTAAGTTACTTTTTATTGGACAGTGAAACTTTGATCCATTTCAGATGGATCAACCTGAAACTCGCCTTATCTCAACATAAAAATCATAAAACACACTCAAGAAAACTAAATTGAGAACTCACATGTTGACACACTCGAGAATTAGAGGTAACTAAATTAATGAGCATATCGAGAATTAAGTATTATAACTTGAGAAATTTAATACTAATTAGTTTCAATAAGGGAAATGAGTTTTGACTCTAGTTATGAAGTTTTAGTCTGAACCATAGGGACACCCCAGCTATCCACCTTTCCATGTAACATTCGTCTACTGCAGTCACACATGAGGCTTAAGAAAAATAGGCCCTATAACCATTGGCTCAAGAGTCAGGGACACTATCTCTTGTGTTTTTCTACCTCAAATCAGTCGGAGCCAATTCGGTTCGTTTGTGACATGAGACTACGACCGGTTACAGCTTAAAGGCTACTACTAAAATATCCCCCACTCTAGAATTAAGAACGTCCCCATACTTAGGTCTCTAGATACCCAAAATACATGAACGCCGTTAAAAACCGGGTCGGAACAATCCGTTAAGTTACTTTTTATTAGACAGTGGAACTTTGATCCATTTCAGATGGATCAACCTAAAACTCGCCTTACCTCAACATAACAATTATAAAACACACTCTAGAAATTTAAATTGGTACTCACATTGTAGCACGCTCAAGAATTGGGAGTAATTAAGTCGGTAAGCAACTCAAGAATTAAATAGTGTAACTAAATGAGTTTAATGTTTGCTAGTTTCAACAACAGGAATAAGTTCGTACTCTAGAATGCAGTTTTATGTGGACCATTGGGACACTCAAGCTGTCCACCTTTCCACCGAAGGTTCACTCTGGTCCAGTTCGAATAGTTGACCAGTTGGATAATTGTCCAGTTCTCAGGAACACTCTGTCTTCTATTTCAAATAGGACAGCCCTACTCTAGATTATTATTGTCTCGGAAATTGCGAATGGCAACTTCCTTCTGATTTATCTTGCAACTTTCGCGCGATTGTCACTCGATCGTTCTGAATTCTCTTTTTCGATTTTCAGTTATCGCGAGAAAATCGTGCATGACAGGCTCCATTCGAATTTTTGAAAAATTAAATTTCACTCCAAAATCAAGTGTTTTTTGCTTCTCTCAAGGTCAAACTTCCAAATATGACCGACTGGCACACCACTGAGGGTTCACTCTAGTTCGGTTCGAATAATTGTATTCCTCTTTCACAATCGTTTCTCTCCCTATATCAGGATAAGACGGCTCTACTCGCGTTTATTTCGTATCTGGAAATTGCGAATAGCAATTTCCCGCTGCTTTTTTCAAGTACTTTCCCGCGATTGTAAATCGGATGTTCTGATCTTCTATTTCTGAGATTTTCAGTTTTCGCGAGAAAGTTTAGCATGACAGGCTCCATTCGAAATTTTGAAAATTTATATTTCCTCCCAAAATTACGTATTTCGTGTTCCTCAAGGTCAAACTTCCAAATATGACCGACTGGCACATACTCCCCGGACTCGAGATCGATGTCCTCATCGCGTGTTGCCGCCTGTCAGTGAGTCCCCAGAATACCGATTGTTGCTCAAGATACAGTGCCAGTGGTCATTTACAGAAGTTTGCACCAGACTCAAGTTTATCTACATCCCAATGTTCACCACTATATAAAATCGTCACACTATCGCTGAACAGCAATCAAAATTTTCATATACCTGCACCTTAAATATCCGCTTTTGAAGCTTATGATTAAAATTTCTTTTGTCCTATCCAGTCAGGAAATTGTCATGCAACATTTTGATTTATATAATAACTATAGCATATTAATAACAATATTTTGTTTCGTTAAAATTTCTTTTCCGTGACCTCGGATTTTATCCGATTTCACACTCGAGCCCCTTCCTTTATGTGCCATTCTGCCAGATAGGCACAGCGCAACCTTCCGGCGACACAAAAGAAAACGAATAAAGGCCTTAGTAACGAAAAAGTATTGCGAAGGAGGGTAGGAATATTCTAGAATTTTTATTTTCAAAATTTCGATTGAAGAGTGAATATTTCTCAGAAGTACGAAAAGACAGCCATTTTGACTGAAAGGGACGAAAAAACAGAACAGCGACAAATATTGTGGAAAACGATCGCACAAGAGACAAAAGACACGAAGCCTCTTATCGTGGCAACAACACACGATAAGACTCTTAGCAGTGGATATTAGTGGAGAAGGAAGCTTCAGTTGGAAAGGAATATTCCACGGAACCCTCCCGTCCCACAAATTGGAAGAGATTAGAACGTTATCTCAGGAAGATTACGGGAGCGAGGCTTGGTCCCCCAGAGACTGTTTTATGTAAAGGGACTATATAAAACTGACTTTGTAGCTACTTAGATGTCGTAGAACTCTGAATTAACACCGGTGTAATTTGATATTTTAGAATATGAGTAGCTAGAAAGAGGAAAGGGTCAATCCATCTCCAATGGATTTAATATAGAACTGTCACACAAAAACATATTAAAATTGGTTGTTCGAGCCGTGTTTTTAATAGCAATCACGTAGTCTGAGGATCCGAGACTCAGCTATGTGGTTGTGTTTGCATATAAGCGAAAGCTGATCAAAAGTCGTTTGACTGATGGCCTAAAAATAGTAATTTTTTACTTAGCCCTAAACAGACCAGAAAATCAACTGGCAAGGTCGAGACGGTGAAATACGAGTAGGATTAAGGTAACTGACGCCTGCCAGTCGTTAATAGAAACTTTTTCTACGCTCCGTCGCTGTGTAGTATTTGGGCGAATGTTACATAGACGTTTTAATGGCGCTCCTGGGTGGGCCTGTTAAAGGCATGAGACCATCATGATCAGCAAGCGTTTCAGCGACGAACTCTCCGCTCCGGGCGTATGCCCAAGTTAGAGGCCTTAATGACCGTTATTGTACTAGGGGGAAGGTGCGTACCCTCCGTCTAGTACAATTTAGCTTTTTAACTTAGTTAACACCGAAAATTCCGGGGGCCGGCGGGTTAGGTGGGAAATCTAGAGCCCGCTTGTCCCGAGGTCCCAGGACCAAAAACAAATAAAGAGAAAGCGTAAAAACAAACAAAAATAGTGTATAACCAAGAAAAAGCCAAAAACAAATTTATTTCAAAACAAAAAATTACAAAAAACAATAAAAAAATCCAAAAAAGACCAAAAACAATAAAAACATAAAGTGACAGTTTATATGTTGTTTTCGGACGAGATGTGATCTGACCTTCCTAATTGTTGTTGTTTCAGATTGATCTATATCATTTCTGATTGAAAGATTGTGTGTTTTGGTGAAGGGTTGGATACCCTCCCTTGAGTGTAATTTGAGTATTTAAGCACGTTAATGGTGATTTTGCCGGTGACCGGAGGGTAGAGTGGCAAGCTGACCGACGTGTTCCACACTCAACAGGGACATAGGGACAACATCCAAAACGACTGTTGGGTATCGTTGAAACAAATTTAGTATCGTTCGGGTACTATTTCATTAAAACTTAAGTGGTGGGGGGCACGATTGGCGCGGTCCGATTGTACCCTCCGTCGATCACAAATTTCCCAGTTAAGGGTCTTAATTCGGGTATTTTGGTGCAAAAGAGGGTATAGTAATATTCATTAACGACTGCTAATAGATTATTGTCCTTACTATATATTACTTATCTCCTATTTAGACCCAAGAAACACCCAAATTTTGTCGAAAATTACAGATTTTTGACAAACTATAGACCCCCAAATTTTTGGATTTCCGAGCTTTTCCGAACAGCAAAAAGCTTTTATATAGGGAATAGCTACGTAGTTCGATCCCCCTAACTAAAGAAACCGCGTGAGAAAAGACTCAGTAAAAGTTGGAAGAAACCAAAAATTTTCGGTCAAAATTTCGATAATTTTCTGAATTTTGTCAATCTGTTTTGGGGATCGAGTTTTTGAGTTCTTAGAGTTAGAGCAATAAAATTTTTTGTCTTAGGAGCGTGCTAGCATAACGTGCTCGGCTGCCAGAAAAATTCTTGAGTAACCTTCCGATTAGAGCCGTGGATAGAGCTAACAACTTAAGGATTGGAAAAGGAAGGAATAGGAGGGTCCAAATTTGATAGTTATTGGCCAAATTTTTGTCTCCAAACCAATTTTGGTCCGGTTTTTTGCATTATTCCAGTGCCGTGCAGGGCTACTACGCTCGTTTCAATTTTCTTTAGGCACTTTCAATCGGAATTGCGGAAAAAGTTTCTCAGAAACTACATAGGTGGTGAAAAAAGCCCATTTGGACAAACACGTTTTTGGCAATTTCTCAAAGACTAGCCAACCGATCGGGATAATTTTGGTACCATAAGTCGACGTTTTGGACCAATTTTTCGGACCGCAATCGTTTTTGGGTTGATAAACTCGGAAAAGAAAATTTTTTTAGAATTTGTTGGTTCGGAGGGTCCAAATCACAGGTAACCCTCCGAGCGGCAGAAAATTTTATCAAAACACCTTTTTATCCAACTGGGAAGGTTGACCGTGTCAGCCAACCTAGTTTCAAGTCAGGTGGACTGCTTTTGGAGACTTTATCGCGGTAACATAACCTTTTTTTCTTGAT